AGAGAGAGAGAGAGAGAGAGAGAGAGAGAGAGAGAGAGAGAGAGAGGAGTTATTTGATACCCCACCGATCAGAAGATGCGTGAGTAAAAATGGACCGTATTGGTTCGTCGCCATCGTCATCTCCACTCCGTCCTCGGTGACCATTTTCTTGAACAGTTGAGCGGTACCAGCGTTGTGAATCAACACGTCCAATCTGTCCTCCTCGCGGTTTATTTGCTGGGCGAACTCCCTCACCGAGGCGAACGACGACAGGTCGAGTTTTCGTGTAACGATGCTCTCGTTCCCGGACTCTTTTATCAATTCCTCTGTGAAGATGCGAGGAAAAAGTGTGATTGAGGGAACGAACACGCGCGTTATAAAAAATAGGCGAAATATGGCGTATTTGAGATAATTGTTTGTTCTAAATTGCGATCACCGGTGAGAATTACTTAGGGGGGAGGAGGGGATTTATTTGGTTTCGTGCAAGTGATGCAAATGGAATTATCTTGCCCAATTGTGCAAATTTCCTATTGAATTTATGCAAATTTTGTAAAATTAATAAATGCGATCGAATATAATCTTGCGTTTGTCGCAATCCCGATGATTGTATGATTATATCGATTTGCAACCATTTGATTTTAATACGGGATGCGCGATTATGTATCATCGTTAATGAACTCGAAATAAATAAATTATACGTTAATTTAAGAAATTGCTGTATTATTTTAATTTCGATTAATTTTATAGGAAAGAATTGTCTTTATGCTTCATGCAAAAAAAAAAAAAAGCTTTGTGAGAGAGTAGCTTCGAGTGAGAATGAGAAAACGAGAAAAATTTTTTTTAAAGAATTATTTGACTCGAATTATTTGAGACGAAGAGAAATAAAATTTTTCAAAGATATTGAATCACTAGGAATAATGTAAAATCGTGTTCGTATTTGAAACCGCGTAAAACTTAATAACATTATAATAAAAATTCTTATTTCCGTTAAGTCAATAATGAATTGAATGAAACAAGTTATGAATCCTATTACGTATAGAATGGAATTCTTGTTAACATCAAATTACTTTGCATTAACTTGTGTATCACTTGTGATACGAACCAACGATTTCTGATCTTATATATACATATTTTTTTTTTTTTTTAAGAGCTATTTCAAAATTAATATCACGTGCCATACGCAAAGCATATACGCAATTCTTGCTTAGAAAAACAATGATATATATTCATACAGTTTTACCCTACTTTCTCTAGTTTATTATTAATGAATCGTAACAGTTTCTCTTTTTTCTTTATAAGCGATTCTCAATCGAACCCATAATAATAAACCTTCGTGATAATTTATTTGGTTATCGTTATGGAAAAGGGAAATTTTTTTCTCTGAAAAGGAAAGAACCTTTCAATTTGTCCGCCATTTCCAAATTTCGGCACGCCATAATTAATCTCGCGCCTCTTTTCGCTATATCTCTCGCGGTCTCCCTCCCGATACCAGACGTGCATCCAGTAATTATTACAGTCTTCCCGTCCATTCTTTTCTTGCTTCTGCAGATTCCCATCGTGTGCTGGGCGTAAAAGTACACCGCCAGTAAAACCAGAAGCACGACGAGTGATCCAGCTGCGGCCAGGTAACACAACGTTGTGCAGGACACGATCTTGAGTAACATGATCTAAACGAAAGGTGTACGATACATGTAACGTTAAATAGAAATTTCTTAAAGTTTCTTTTTTTTTTTTTTTTAATTAACAGAAAAGGGGATTAATAATAATAGAAGAAACAAAAGTATTCTAATACAATATTATATTTAGAAATATTAAATGTATGAGCAATTAGTTTTAATATTCCATCTATATAAAATGTGAATAATATTATCTTGTATAGTAGGTAATGATAAATTTTAATGTAAAAATTATACATGCTGTGATTTTTGTCTGTATGTAGTTTTTCATTTTTTTTTTTTTTTTCAGAAAAATATATATATCTAGAATATAATTACTAAAATTAAAATCAAATAGAAAATAGAAATAAGAAGAATATATATCAGAGAGGAAAAAATTGTTATGCATGAAACGTATAGATATATGAATCATCTGAATAGGACAATTAACAATATAAGAAAACTATGTTAATTTTATATTTAGATTATACACATAGGAAAAATACAATACAAGTAAAGAAAAGAAATCTTTAATTTTATTTGAGAAAAAAACTTTTATTTTAACTTAGCATTTTATTTTTAATAATAAAAGTAAAATTTGTAATTCAAAAATTGTAATTTTTTCTGAAATGAATTTTTCTTAATTTAATTAAATCGCAGTGTCACGCGCGTGTCATCTTTTTGAAAAATTCAAAATTCTATTGCAATACAGGCATTGAAATCTCTCGTTCGAAGAAATGCTATGTAGTAAAGGTCGATGACCGAGAACATGGATCGTTTGAGATATCGGACACTGACGTCCTACCTAACTCGTCGTAGAAATGACATATGGACTCGAAATAACGAATGCAAAATATTATATTTTAAATTACATTACTTTAACATTTCTATGATATAAATATATAGTCCGTATCACGATAAACGTAAACAATACAAATTATCTATAAAATTTATATACTTTTAGATTAATTTTGTTATTTCATATATATATGAATTTTTCTTTATAATAAATGTTTATAATAAATGTATAATGATAGAAAAATATTTATGATTATCCTATATTTTATGATAATGATGATATAATAATGATCACAAATAGAGTAAAAAGTGAATGAGTTAGCTTAAAATAATATAAATAATATAATAATTTGTCATACCGTATTCCAACACTTATTATAATTAATATTTCTCGAAGATTCTATGAAATCTATTTATTTAATTAATATTTAATTAATTAATTAAATATTAACAAACATGGAAAATTTTCCATTAATTTAACATTTATTATAACTAATACTTCTCGAACATTCTATGAAATCTATTTATTTTCAAACGAAGAAATAAATTTTAACGACGTTTAATTTATACTTAACAAACATGGAAAATTTTCCACTATTTTATTTATAGTATATATAATATTTTATAGAATAATAATGTATTAATTTCATTTCAATCTATCTACAAAGGATCTGTAGATAGTCAAATT